GTAAATAACAAATCTAGGATTTTTAATCTTACTGGACCTCTGAAATGTAAACATAACAGCCGACATTGGATACAACAATATCAGTTGTTTTAACTGCCTACCTGACTTACTTAAGTAAACAGAAATAAACTTATGATATTATAACACACAGGTGAAATTAAATTTCTAAGATTCCACGTGTATACGGAAAATTGTGAAAACAAAGACATTTTTAGTTTAGTTAGATGGTGGTAAAATATAATCAGTATCAACGTTTATATACTTATTTAACTATTGAGAGTCCGTATTTTGCAGTTAATTTTATCAATTAACAATTTAATGCTCAATAGTGCCCGAGACGTTAAACTTTTGGTCTTCCATTATACAGCTACCTACATTTTCCTCTTTTTAATCGCCGAATTCAGTAAGTCATTAATTCTGGTAAGTATTTAATTATTTACAAAGAAACCTTAAGCCAACTGTTTAAATAATAGTTAAGACTAGCTGTTAACGAATGAAAAATCGACGTTATAACATTCCCAGGTTTTAAAGTCCGAGAATAACGTTCTAAAGCTTGAAGCGATGATTTTCGCCGGCTTTACTCTTGTGTCGAAATAAGCTGTATAATGAACCTTCATAAAGAATGAACCTTTTTATATGGAGATTCATTACCTGGTAATTGCCTCTTTCCTTTGGCACCTACTCATTTTTACAAACGAAATTGTTTTCTGTGTGCCGTTCAACGCAAAGAATATTTTGAAGGTTTTTAGACAAAGTCCTGGTACCCTGCCAATTGGTGTTTGTTGAACAATTTCCGATTTTATTTTGGATGATAGTTGAATTTAAGCGGTCATTAAGAGAATTAAGAATGGGAAACTAACTTCTTCGTTTCGTGGTTTAATTATCCCAAATACAATTTACGAATTTCAAACTGTCTATTTTTTCGTGTTCTGTATTTAGTTTGTACACCACTAATTCTATATAATTAAATTCATTTTTTTTCTGGAAATTAATATGGATATTATACTTAACTTATTAGTATGGTCTGAAGAATTATTTTGTTAAGAAAAATCTATGAAATGCTATTAATCATGTGCCATACTTAATTGAAAGATCTGCCGACAATTTTCTTAGGCGCAACAAATTGAGTTCTTTTGGTGCCATCAATCATACTCAACCCTCACCAATTGGACAGCAGCCGGTATTATAAAAATGTGCCTCTGTGATGTCCGTTAACAATGTTTTTTTTTTATTCATATGTTAGATTATAATCAAATATTGGGGTGGTGAAAAAATTGTATGGTATTTTTGGTTTTGCTTTGATTTTTATTACTTTGATCAAGTAATAAAACTACTCTCTTCAAATAGGTATTATTAATAATTTCTTTTGAATAAATACAAACCTCTCGCTTTATTTAAGTTTCTTATAGTTCTAAAAATTGTTTTGGCTATAAATTACACAGCATCTACCTACATGAGTATAGTCATATAATACATACTTACTTACAAGTTTTTTAGTGTGTATTTAACATTTAGTAGTTCTCATAATTAAATTATAAGTACCTATACTGTCTTACCAAATCTCTAATGGATTGGCAAATTTCAACTTTATTACTTTAATATTAAATATGCTAGTAAAACTTTGTTTTGTTAACAAAAGCAATAATTTTATGCATACTTATTTAAAAAATACAATTTAGTAGCTACTAAGAATATAAGTTTCTTCTAATATTCTACGCAAACTACTCATTTAATACATGAAAAACTTGCATAAAATTTAATAAGGTGTTTAATACGTTTTTTATATTCACGAATTATTTTCTCTTTTTTAACCAGCTGACAGCGCAGATGATAAATACAAAAGACGTCTATAAACACGTTGCACTCTGAGTTATACATGCTGTACGGATAAGAGATCAATAATCGTTTTTTGTTAATATACCCACAGTTTGTCCACTACTATCGAAATAAATAAAAACTAATAATATTAGTGTATTAAAGAACCGTTATCTATATTATATTATATCTATATTCACAAACATAGTAATTAGTTCTTGGATGATATACCTATAGTAATTAGTTCTTGATGTGTAACCCATGAATGAGATACTACCCGCTATAAATACCGTTGCAGAGCGCGGTATGCTTCATTCTTCGCGGACTCATCATGGTATAAACATGATTGGGCTAACGTTGGGAATAACACTGTCACTCTGGCTGTTGCTATATCGAGTTAGTGGTTATTTTGATTATTTAAAGTACGAGAAGATTTTTAGATTACTTATATAGAGTGTCAAGCGTACTAATATCGGTTAATTATTATTAAAAGGTATATTGGAGTTCTGAGGTGACATTATTATATTATTATAATTACAAATAATTAAGTGATAATATTTAATATATAATTGTAAGTACCTATAAAATCACATTATTTTATTCTGTTGTTACATGTTAAAAAGAAAAATAAACAATACAAAACTTTTTTTCTGTGTATATATGTTCCATTTTCGATATTCAACAATAGGAATAAAAATCTGTACTAAAAACAAATTTTGAATGAATCCGAAATGCCTAAAATATGTAGAACGTATAGTTAAAACCTTGCAAAAGTTTCCGAACAGAATGAGTGAAAGCTATGTCTATTTTTGTACTGCGTACATATTTTATAAACAAAGAACATATTAGCGATGCGATGTAGGCAAAGAAAATCAGATAACGAGGTGAAACTTTATGTAACTCAAGGTGACACGTGAAAGTCACACTTAGCAAAATATTATGTTTTATTAAGATTCAGAATATAACTCATACCTATATTATACTACTACTAGAATACAATATGGATATCGTGACAACTAATTTTGATAAAACTATATCCTTTCAAATGTTATAAGACTGAAAAATTCAACAGCCGCAGGTGCTCAAGGCGGTGTTCCAACATGTGACTCTTCGCTAACTGGCCTAAGGTCTTACAATAATTATTCTCCTCTAGAGGTAGCTAGAGTTATAATAACCTTCCTTACCTATCTTTTAATAAATTAAACTTTCGTAAATATAAATTACTTACAAATTTATTGTAGGTACGAAAAATTAGAAAGATATTGCTTTTTCTCCTTCCCGCGTAAGAGATTTGATATATTTGAATAACAAATGAAATGAATAAAAATATCTTTATTCAAGTAAGCTTGTTACAAGCACTTTTCTACCACTTGTTCAGGACTTTTTTAGCTGAAAATTACCAGCTCTTTATCATAAGTAATTACATTTACAAAATCATGTCATTACTAAAATAATATATTTTATTACAATAATAAATACAACTTTCAAAGTCTGTAGGTCATCATAAGTATGTTCTTTACATGAATTTTGAATTTATTTATGGGTAGGTGAATTACATTTTGTGGAACTTTATTGAACATAGCAATGCATTTACCCAGACATGACCCTCTGGTTTTCTGAAGTCTGAAGCTTGGAACATAGCATTTAATAAGATTTTGTTATATATTATAAATTGTTTGAAATATTAAAAATTCTTTTCAAATAAAAGAATTATTTCTGATTGGTAGAAACGAAATTAACGAAATCAATTATATGATTGAACGTAATTTAGCTAATTGATAAAACGCTATTGAAGATAAGAAATTAAAAGATTCTTGTTCCTTATGCTAATCTTCATAACAAACAGCAATTACATTAATTTACAAACTTTTGCCTCCATTTGCGTGGAATTAACATTTCAAGTAGCTTATTTCCGACTTTTCACTTATCTACTTTAGTTTTTATTTACACTGGTCAACATGAAAATTGCCCATTATTTGAAACTGCACTATATCTTTAAACTTTAAAATAATAGTTGACTCTTATTTTTAATTTAAACCAAATTTAAGATAAAATCCGGTATCTTGATAGATGTCACTTTAAATTAAGTTTTCAAATCTAAAGCCTCAAAGGTTTACCCTTAAGGGTACCCGCGAAAATTTTGTTATTACGCATTCGTTTAACGTGTCTTATAGTGATTATGATTGCTTGTTAAAACGCGAAATTTTAATAGCTTTTTTTAACATTTTCGACAAATGTCTGGTACAAAAACTACAATTTAATATTTTTATGTCACGTTACTGTGTAAATAGTGCAGATAATCTTTGCTACATATGTGGTAATGGTGAAAGATGCTCAATAACCCAGCGATTAGTACGTGCATACTTTTGTTATTTTTGAATTTAAATCAAAAAACAAGATAAATCTTTGGTCACATATTATAGTTGAAGAATTTTTTCTATAAATTTACATTTGTGGCTTAACAAGAAGAATCATTCAATGTATTTTGGTGTTCCAATGATATGGGGGAACATACTAATCTTATCAATGATTGTAATTTTTGCTTGACATGTCCTATCCAGCATAGTATATCGAAAAAAAGAGCGTAGTCTAGTACCCTGACATTGCGTCGATAGCACGACCAGTACCACACGGAACAGATTTGCCAGTTCCTCAACTTCCCGAAGATTACTAACATGATTCTGATCAAGAAATTACTTTGGTGGAAGTGGATTACCACCAGCTTCAACTCAGGTCTCAGGCCCGTCTTAAGCACTACAGGTGCCCGGGTAGAAGTAGTGCCCGGTGCCACAACAGGTGCCCGGGTACACATATTTATGTTAGACCATCACCGGCGCGGCGCCCCCCAACACGCGGCGCCCGTGTGCTTTACACCCCCTGCACCATGGGTAAAGACGGGCCTTTTTATTTTTTTTTGACGCTGAGAAATGCGTTACGCATTCCCGCTTCACCCTGCGCGGGCTCCACGGGTGATGTGGGATCCTCCTGTGGCCCCACCCCCAAAGGTGCTAGACAAGACACAGGAGTTTACCCACTAAAACATCAACACATAATCAGCGATGTCCCTCGCATGGAAGGCGATGCGCGGGATCGGCCCGAAGGCCATACACCGCGCCGCCCCCATTTCGGCCCGGGTAAAGACGGGCCTGCTTTAACTGCGCAAGTTTCAGAGTCGTTATTTTCACATTTTTTTAAAGAAAAATTAATTCTTATGGTTTTTAAAATTCTGCCGAAATTACAGAGCTTTTTCTGTAATTAAAATATTATTTTATTATATAAAATGTGGTACTTACCATAATAAACATCATCCAGTTCTTTAAACCTCTTTGCGTTGACGCCGATCCTCCAACTATATAACAGGACCACCAGTATTGATATATTCTGTAACAAAAGAAATATTTTTTACTACTAATTTAATATTGACTTTGGAATTATTAAATACTTCTAGCTTAATATAATAAATGCCATGTACCGATGCTAAATTGCGACATAAAAAGCATACATTATAAAACATACAACATTGTATACCAGGGTAATTTTCACGAAATCCCGAAATTCGGCTATCTTAAAATGACAAAAAATATTGAAGTTATTTGATATATCTTTAATGTGAATTTGATAGTACTAATGTTACTAGAATTAAATTACGTAGTGGTCCCAAAAATTATCACGTTTTATGAAAGTTATGAGGACATTAAAAATAATCAAAGTGAGGGAATGACAATTAAGGCGAGGGAATGATTATTGCAGACAAGTCATGTAGCTTTTTAATAAAATTAGTTCTTTTTTTCAAAGAAATCTTTTTATTCAATGCAATTTTGTTCGTAAACAATAAGTTAAATCAATAAGTAATTCCAGCAAATCACAAAATTATTCCAGCACTTTGGCATAACTCAAATTTAGTTATTTTATTTATTATTGCACTTGATTAAATAACAATGACAACAAAATCCTTGCTGACTTAAAGATTCATCTAACAGCAGTTTAACAACAGAAAAATTTCCTTTTTAAATCTTTAGTATCAAAACAACATATATACTTAATTAGCTTTTTTCCTAACAAAAAATAATTCTTAAAATTTATAATCTTAAATGATTCAGTCTCAAAGTTACAATTAAAATCTTAATCAGATATTTTAAACTAGTTTAAATCTTTTATAAAATAACAACCCTTCTTGATTAATTTTGGAGGCTTAATCTTCTTTAGAATGTCATTCCAGGCATATAACTGTTCATCTCGGATTTTAGGCCATTTCCAAGACTTAGTTCCTCTTTTCATACACTTTACTAAAGCACCTTCCTCAGAAACTGATATTATTTCCCCTGGGTAAATATTTTCGTCCCATTTGATAAGTACATAATCACCAATATTATAAGTAATATTAGTGTCCGTACAAATACTTGTAATATCATTTGATGAATGTCCATCATGATAAACTTTATTTCTTGTTTTTAATTCAATGGACCTTGGTTTTTCAATGCAACCTTTTGTAGATTTATAAAATCCCATGTGAAAATGTTTACACTTTTCTGCGCATTGACAACATGAAAGACTTCTAAATTCCAAGGCATTATTACTGAAGACAAATTGACGAATTTTCTGAGTGCCACGAAATGCAGCAATGATGGTTGACTGTTTGACTAAATCTTCTATTTTCGCAATATTAGCAGTGGTAACTTCAAATAGCTTTATTGAAGAACAAGATGTTCTTCAATAAAGCTATTCAACAAAATTTCTTTGAGAGATTTCAGATTTACGATGTCCTTGCCTTCAGCCACCGCTTTATCAGCTGTTCTTTTTAATGTGCCACATACGCCATCAGGAGCACCTTTGCCATGGCCTGGTTCTGAATAATTCCACGCAAAAAATGTCGCACCCAGAAACAAATCATTTATATGATGATATACTAGATGAAACATGAACTTGTTCTTGTACTGGTTGACAGGACTATCACTTAGCATGTGTATTCTGTGAATATTTGGATTGTGATTTTTAAGCCACTCAAAAACTGGTAATAGGTGTGCCCATACTGCCATTGTATCGTGTCTATTATTATCAGAAAGAGAACAAAACGTGTAGGATTTTACAGTGTCATTTTCACGTAAATATAATACTCCTGTATGTAGTGTAACTTGTTGTCTTGCACCTCCGAAATATACTGCCTGGATCTCTTCGTTATATTTGCAACAATAGTTTTCGCTAAAATCTATGTGAATAAGGACTTCATTGTAAGCTAAAGTCTTTTTAAGTTCTGATATGGTCTGATACTGGTGTGCTATCGTGGCAACATGTTTAAAAAATAAAGGCAAAATATTCTCTAACTGATGTACCAATGATCTTAGTGAAACCTTGATTTCTTTTAAAATGGGTTTTCTTACTGTCTTTATATTTTCATTTTTTTCGTAGGATACAGTTTTATACATCCACTGTTCATAAGTCACTATTCTGTTTGGCTGTGGAAGATAATACTCTATCATTTTATTTGCACAACCTTCACATTCTCGTAAAAGACATTTAGTTGAATAAACATTGCATGTCTTCATGGTCAAAAATTTAGTTAGATTACAGTAAGGCAATACTTTATTTTCGTGTAACTTCATAATCATCCGTTGAACATTTGCGTGGATTACGCATTTGCATGTATTACGGTCTTTTAAGTTTGCCCAAGTTACCCAAAAAGGCCGAAATCTGCAAAAAGTTGTCAAGCTTATTTTATACTCAACTGTAGTCAGAAATTTATTGTGCAAATTTTTCATGGTATCGCACAGTAAACGTTTTTGTTTTACATGTCCTTTTGATTTTAGAAAATCTTTCTTTCCTGGGCACATCCGAGAACTTTCATCCTTTTCCAAAAAATCTTGAACATCCTGTTTGACCTGCATCAATTTAGCACTTACTTTCCTAAAAATGCTCTTTTTGTAACAATCAAGTTTGAAAAACTGTTTTGATAAGCTGAGTAGTTTATGCTTCTTCAAAAGATCGGGTTTTACTATTTCATAATACTTTTTCTTTTCACTATGTTTCTTTAAATTACTGTACCTGTCTTTTAGCTGTTTAGTAATAACTTCTGATAGAAGAATCTTCTTCTTCACAATTTTAGGAACTCGGACGTTCTTTAAGAGAGCTGATACTTTGGCTTCTGGTGAAGTCTGATTATTTTTGTTTTGTCTTTGACATCTCTTACGGTATTTCTCTTTTCTTCTTATTTCTTGTTTCAGTCTTTCCTGTAATCTGGATATTTTTGCATAAAGTATTCCTCTGCGTCTTCTTAGGTGCTGCCTTCTCCGATTAACTGTCAGATTTCTTAAATCATCATTATTTTGGATAGGCCCTGGGCTAGGAGGTGGTGTCTCATCTAACAGTCTTGCTAAATTTTTTCGCACCTTCACTGTTTTGTCTCTATATGTTTGGCTATTTTTCTTCCAGTTTTTTCTTTTTTGCCTTCTTTCTCGAGAACTCATTGCGGATATAGGTTTTACTTGACCTTTTTCTTTTTTATTTAGGTATTTAATTCTTTCTTTTTCACGAAGTATTTCAAGTGTTACAGGATCAGCTTTCATTTTTTGCCTGCGCTTTCGGTCATATTCTTGCTTTTTTAATTTAGCTTCATCTTTGCTTATCTTCTTTTTTCTTGACATTTTTAACCTGCAACAATATTGCAACAATAAACAATCATAAATAAACGACAATAAATAAAAGCAAACAATAAAAAAGCCAGTCAGCCTACCCAAAAATCATTTCCTCATATATCATCATTCCCTCACCATAAATTTTTATGTGGGAATGATGGTGAGGGAATGATGAAATAAAGAATAACTGTTAAGGACTCGTGACATAACCTTACTTTTAAAACGATTTTTTTGCTTAAGGAAATTACTCCCAAAAGCCATTTTATCTGTGCAACTTATAACCAATTTAAGTACTTACCTTTGGTTTTCTAGAATGTGATGAAATGACGATCAAAAATTTAATTTAACCATATAATTAATAAAACCTTTTCGCAGCGCACACCCGAACACAATCACAGAAAAAACGCCAGTTTGACAAATTAACATTAGTGCCAACTTTCAGAAACGAATGGTAGCGTTCGTATTTTATTTAAAATGCGTTAGTAATTCAACTGTCGGTAATAGTGTGAGGGAATGATTTATTTTTGTGAGACACATATAAATATTCAAATTTTTAACGCGTCTTTTACTTTATGACGCTAATATCGATTTTTTCCATAAATTTATAATATTTAAAAAAAAATCCGACTTGCTTGAATATGATTCGAATGATTTTTGTACGTTTTTGGTAAATAAAAGTAATTAAAATTGGTACATGGGACATAGTGAGGTAATGATATTAGATACATTATGGTTATGCATTTTTATTTATTTATTTATGCGGCTCTAAAATCTTATGTGATACTTTTAGATAGAAGTATGTGGATTGTATAAAAATATTAGTAACATCCATTTCTTTGTTGGATTTTTATATAATCTAAAAGGACAAGAATTTCGGAATTTCGTGAGAATTACCCACCAGTATCATATCAATTATTTAATTATGATTTATATGATCTTTAATTATGATCTTTACATGTATATGTCGCATCATCATTACGAAGATCGTTTGATTTAGTTTCTTTTATTTTAATTGCTAGTTACTCGATTACTTAATTACTCGATTGTAAAGAGAGCGTGATCATCGATACTTTTAATTTTATTAGAATGGTGACACTGACTTTGACAGTTCGTTTATAAAAACCAAGTTGCCGCCATTTTGGCAGACATTCTGTTTCCAAACGCCGAGGAGTAAAGATATCAGATGCCATCACGCTCATCTCGTTATATTTTCGTAAGAAAAGTGATGAAATGGAACAAATCCACGTTGGTATACACGCCTGCAGTGTTATTTTAAAGATAGTCCTCCGAAATGGACAATCTATTTGGGCTTCGTAATAGCCCCTTCGGACTACCCGCCGTTATATATATATGTGACTATGTATGTTTATGTATTATAAACAATTCTCCTGCTCAACCATTAATGTTTTGTTTTGTTATGGTATATCTGTAGACTTCTTAATGCACCATAGACTACCCAATTTTTTCAACTGTATCCAGTATGCTATGTTAAGGTTGCCTGAAAGAAATTGCCTTTTAGCAATATGGCCGCCAATCGTACTGTTAGATTATTATATATTTGTTCATTCATTTATGGTGTTTACAATAAAGAGTATTTCATTCATTCATTCATTCATTATGATCTACTTTTATTATATTTGATCAAACTTCGATTCACAATGCTATACCGAAAAATATTCTTAATGAAAACTGCTTAAAACATCCACTTTGTCCTTGGCACTCTGAGATATGAGTTATGTGTTGAGTTATAATATAGTATAGTAGTAATTACATTATATAGTATAGTATAATATGAAAATTAAAAGAGGATTAATATGTTTCTTTTTCACGTAACCAAAAGTATTCAAACACGACGATGTCAGATGTAGCACTTCTAAGACTCGACCTTACGAGTATATAGTGCTATCCGCTACGAAACTATGTAAGTTACGAACTCAAGAGAAACTTCATTCGGTTGTTTCTCCAAGCGACCATTACTTATGTTTAATTCTGGTAAGCATTAAACACTTTATTGATGTCGGAGAGGACATGTAAGTATTTCTGTGGTGCTACTACAACTTTAATATAATATAGATCATGCTGAAAACTTACAGTGAATAAGTATGTAATCGCACAGGTATATATATAACTATAATACTATACTTGTAATTATAGCGTGTTATAAGATTTTTTATTTCTTATTTGAGACAAAAATATCTTAGATTGCAAACGGGTATTAATGCGATACATTGATAGTAAAATTTTCTACCTAATTATAGGTTTCATACAATCTAATAAAAATATGTTTCATGTACGTATACATTATACGTAGTGCGCTAGAACCTCAACTACCAAAAATGTATACATATTAAATGTCAATAGAAACAAGAATATGATTTTTTTTATATAAAGATAATTAGTTTTCCGCCAGCAGCTTTGCCCGCGTGATTATTAGGCAACTGTTTAGCAGGATAAATATTAGTAAGATTATTTACTCATGTGTAAACAGCAATTTGGTATCTATTCATATTGTGACACAGATAAAATTACAATGACAAATTGAATAGTAATCAATGGTTGAATGGTAACGTTTTAATTCCCTATACAAACTTTCACTTTCATTTTCATCCCTTTACTTGCAGTTTTTCGGGACAAAGTATAGCCACCGTATATGAGTAGTTTATCGTAGGTAAAATAATTTATAAAATTGATCTATTACTTTTATTCGCTGCAAACATATAATGAAATTTTACCATTTATATATTTTTATGTTATATAATGTATAATGTATTAATATATTTATTATATTTGTAAAGTACCGAAAAGTTTTACGTCATATACATTCCTTAGATCCCAAGTAGCTAAAATCCGAAATAAATGAATCACATCACTAAGACCCGACACAATGTAAAAGGTTTACTTTCTTACCAAAGAATCAAAAGTAGAATCATATGACCTCAGCGACGGCGACACCTTGAAACCGATTTACGAGTAATTGGCTATGGAGATATAATATATAGCTGTATAATAATAGTTTTGAAGAATATGTTATAAAGCTCTTATTTTCTGTTCTGTGTTACAAACCATCATATCATTAGTTCTGTAAATCTACGAGAAAGATACACTAATGGACTCTCTCGCAAAATGGCTTTCCATGCAGACGGCCTATTGCACAAATAGCCTCTCGCGTAAAGAGGTTTCTCGCATAGTGCCAGATCCTTAAGTGATTCTAAGTGAACTAATTCATCGGCATGCTTTTTATCCATATTTTATAAGTGATGGAGGTCAGCAACAGTAGATTGTGTATTATATACTTACACGAGTATTTATATAATACATAGAGACGTTAAGCAACGACTATGGTTCCATGGTCTATGGGTCTCAAGCTCCTCCTTGTTTTGGAAGGCACGTTAAGCCGTGGGTCTTGGCTGCATATGCAGTCGTTATCACCTAGTAACCCGCTATGAGTCCATATCAGTACACGTGACTGACTAGTCATAGTCTGTTCTCTCATTCGAATCGAGTTATAATGATGGTGAAAATAGGTAATTAAAAATAAGTATATCATCTTGAGCACTTCTCTCTTTTCATCAGCAAAAAAAAACTACAATAAACTTTTTGTATTGGTAATGAGAATCAAAACAGAGTCGTAGTCTTTGCTATTCAATAATGAATCTGGCTCATTTATATGAAAATTAAAAGCCAATTAACTTTTACAGCGGTCGGGGCTGTGGTTGTAACAATCATAAATTATAACGCTCCGGACTGTATTTGGTTTCTATTGGGTGTTAAATTATCAACTCGAGCATGCCGAAATTACATGACTTCGTAATTAAGGTAAGGAACAAAATATTTTTCGGGTTCACGTCGGAGTTTCACTAATTTGAACCTTTGGAAGTTCATTAACTTTGGAAAATAATTATAGAGTTTCCGAAAAAAAGTTATTTTCTGTTCAATAAAGGTGTACTAAAATGTACTTAACATGTGATTTATGACAAAAAATCCTTAAAATATAACGTTCTTCCCACAATTTGGGCAGGTGACTTGAGTATAATATTGTCGGGGATATTCTTTGCCCGTCATCGATATGCGTAGAATATTTTATTGAAGATTATTAAAATACACAGAGTAAAATTTTGCACTTTCTCATTAAATACTAATATAGAAGTGAGACGGACGGCGTAGTGGGTGGTACGTTTGGTCTATCATGCGGAGATTAACAAACTTTTGTAAGGGGGTGATAGGTGATAAAAAATTTACTAACACGAGTTCTTTCTTCGGAATACACGTTAAGCCGATGATCCCGGCTGTATCTGTAGCCGTTAACTATATGCACTACGGCAAAACTCATTTCCTTTATTCGATCGATTCTATCCATTGAGAAGGGTCATGCCCCAGCAGTAACTGCATTATTTAATTCATTCCTTGTACGCTCGATAAAAACTTTTGACAATCCGATGGATTTCACGATTGAAATTTTTAATACTACGCTAACTAATTTCAGATGGTTTAATGTGATTCTGTATCTTATGGTACTCTGTAATTTTCTCTTGTTATTCCTTATTATTTTATATTCTTTTAATCCAAATTAGTACTGATAGAGGAAAAAGTTCGACTATTACTGTTAGCACTAATTGTCGATTTCACTACGGGCATCCAAAACTGTCAGTTAGCCTTCACTGTCACTTTGACGTTTGATCAGTGACGCGCCAATATACTTCTGGTTTGTCATTCTTGTAAAACTATTCGAATATAGTTTTAAATATATCAATTGAATAGTAAAATGTTTCTCTCAGAACATACGTTTTTATACTAAATTAGTCACTAGTTATATCGCTTGATACTGTATGTTTTCCAAAGAAAATAGAAACAAATAAATGGGTAGGCTGATGACAATGCCGTAACTATACCGTTTGAGGCCCGTATAGAATTTCCGTGAAATTAATCGGAAATTCTTTTTTTTTTTTACTAATTGTGTAAAAATAAATGTCTGGAGTTAGGAGTCTCCTCTGACCTCTTCTAGCCGGGGGCCCGTGGCATTTTGCCGACTTGCCACCTTGTAGTTATGCCACTGGCTGATGATGATGAATAAAATATTCAAACTTCTCCATATTATGTGCTAGCTGTTTTCCCGCGACTTTGTCTATATAAATTATACTAATGGCGCCCGTGTATGATGTGAAAGAATTTTCATAATTGGATCAGTATTTCTGAAGATTACATACAAAAAAAGCTAGAGAATTTAGCTCTTTTGTAATATTAGTATAGATCTACATTAAATAATGATTTCCATACTATACAAAGCTTTGGTTTAAAAAGCTATAGTTTATTTATTTTTAATATTTAAAATTATCTAGAGAAAGGACAGTGATGAGAACTCGAATCCAATTAACTGAACGGTGAGTGCCTTTCCGATATATTTATTTCGTTTGTTAATGAAGCTCACTGGTAATGGTTCTCTCACGTTCGTGAACAATTTATTATACGTTCAAATTAACCCACAGTGAATTTCATTGCTTCCACTGCCTATTTATACTCTACATTAGATTCAGTTATACTTTTAAATGAGACTTCCAAATTCGTAAATTGAACACTTGAAATGTGACTATATATTTTAAAATAAAGTAACACATCAGTATTATGAAAAGGAAATATTTGATTGTTTTTTATTTGCATTGAATTATAATCGAAACTACCAATTTCAAATTTTTATCACCTTTGGAATGGCATCATAGGTTTACCACTCACATAGGTTTTATCTAGTGCGAGCAAAAAAACAGCTTGTGCTATATAATTTTTATTTTATACTTTTACCGTATTTTAAAATTTCTTTTAAAAATATAAATATGTTAGCAATACTGTTTATGGTGTCACTCAATGTGTCTAATAGTGTCAAATAAATCAGGTTGGCCGACTCTTAAAACATGCGTGGATAAAGCAAGTAGCTGAATTTAGATTAAAATTATATTTTCTATGTTATTATATTTTCTATGTTATTATATTTGTTCTATTTCATAGAAGCCTACTAATATTATAT